TATGCTTGAAGTAGAATTTTCCTTATTCATTTGAATAGGGCAAGATTTTCAAAATAAAGTTAAATATTTTAAAAAAGTATGGAGTTTTGAAAACTTCTGAATAGAAGTGTGAATGTCCGTGAGGAGCTGAACATTTTGATAGCTGAAATGGCTGAAAGTATGCAAACGAGGTGATATAATGTATAGGCCTGGTGGGCTCAGGGTTTATCATCTTACATCTGCCTACGTACAGTTTGGAGGTGCAAGATACTTGAGCGTGTAATGCTAATTTTACCTGTGATCCTTTGAATAAATCAGCACTGTTTTGAAGTTACTTGGACTGCCTCGTCTCTCAGAGTTAGCAATGGTAACACGAACCATATCCTACATTACTAAAAATACCTAACACTTTATAAGCTTTAGTTACTTCTCATACCTGTAGTTCCCTTTCATAACTTTATCTTACTTGTTTATGCATATTACAGCTGTATTGATGATTGTCCACAACGACTGAGCTTTGGTTATTTTAATGCATTTGTTTCCCTTGCTTATATATCTTACAGCTGTAATGAAGCAGAATCTGCTTACTTTGAATGCTGTAAGTTCTGTGTAGAGACTAGGTGTCTGCATCTCTTTGTGACCAGACAGCCTATTTACATTTTAGCAAAAGACTGTTTTACACTCACACCTCAACCCACTTAGCATATCCCATGCTTTGCTTTGTCTTGGGATGTCCTGCAGAGGCCAGGGGCTCACCACCTGAGACACACACACACACACATACCTAGATTTACCATATTTCAAATTTAAAATGGTAAAAGAAGTTGGAAAATGGAAAGGAAAAGAGGAGTACAGAGTACATGGTGGGGTTATGAATGAGAGGACAAATTGGGCCTGGAAGAAGAAGAGAGACAGTAAGAGGAGCTGGAAGAGACAGATATAATTAAAATGCTAAGCCAACGTGCATAAAATAGAAAGTTAATATAATTACTAAGTAAGGATAATCATAAGATAATTTATATGTGTGTTTTGTTTGAGATAATCATTAGTGAATGTGTAAGAATAAAGTATTAAGTGATTGTATTGGAAAAAACAATGAAAAGTGATTTTATATCTAGAATCTAAATCATAAAGAGTGAAAATGCTGAATCAGAAAAAAGGGAAGTAAGACACATCTCTGCAAAGAGGACATCCGGAGTGTGTGTGTGTGTGTGTGTGTGTGTG